CACAGTGGACAGCATATTTAAGAGTGGTCGCAGAAGATGAGAATGGAGATGAAAGATCGCTGCCGACTAGTGACCTCGCGTGTGTTGTGAGGTTGCATTCCTCTTGTGTCTGTGGAGATGCTCTCGTTTAGGCATGCTTTAAGGGGACAGGCGTTTGGTGTGGGGTTGGCTTTCTGCTGAGCCATACCTTAGACTGGAGTGCGTGGTTTCAGTCTTGGCTACTCTGCTGTCAATGTGGCTTTCTGCAGATGTGCACGTGGGAGGGTCAGGAGATAGCTCAGGAACTAGGCTCCCTGGCACCCACCTGGGAGACCCGCATTGAGTTCTGGGATCCTGGCCTAGTCTTGGCAGTTGTGGGTATTTGGTGAATGGATCAGTGAGTGGAAAAATCCCTGTGTGTTTCTTTGCATTTCAAATAAAAATGAAAATATATAAAATTGTGAAAACACAATGAAGTACTAAAAATAGATATTTTGATGTACAATGCAAGGGTACTCCAAAATGTTCCTGCAAATGGAGTTCAAAGATGTTTATATGGGTGCAAAAATTTTTTGAAGTCCATGTACAAAAGAGGTTCAAAAATGAACAGAAATTGGGCTTGGCGTTGTTGTATAGAGAGAAAAGCTGCTGCCTGCAGTTTTGGCATTTCACACAGGCGCTGGTTCAAGTTTTGGCTACTCACCTTCCTGTCCAGCTCTCTGCTATGGCCTGGGAAAGCAGCAGAAGATGGCCCAAGTGCTTGGGCCCCTGCATTCACAGGGGAGACACACAAGAGGCTTCTGATCAGCCCTGCTATGGCCGTTGTGGCCATTTGGGGAGTGAAACAGTGGATGGAAGACCGTTCTGCTTCTCCCTGTCTCTGTAATTTTACCTCTCAAATAAATAAATTGTAAACAAATCAAATTGTATATTATGAAAAAACTGCATGCAGTTTTTTTGTATGCAGTTAAACCTTTGAATTCCATTTTTCTGGGAAGCTTTTTTTTTTAAGATTTTTATTTATTTAAGAGGCAGAGTTATAGACAGTGAGGGGGAGAGACAGAGAAAGGTCTTCTGTCTGCTGGTTCACTCCCCAAATGGCCGCAACAGCCGGAGCTGTGCCGATCTGAAGCCAGGAGGCAGGCGCTTCCTCTGGATCTCCCACATGGGTGCAGGGGTCCAAGGACTTGGGCCATCTTCTACTTCTACTTCTTTCCCAGGCCACAGCAGAGAGGTGGATTGGAAGAGGAGCAGCTGGGACTAGAACCGGCATGCATATGGGATGCCAGAGCTGCAGGCGGAGGATTAACCTACTGCGCTGTGGTGCCGGCCCCAGGAAGCTTTTTTTTTTTAAAGGTTTATTTATATGAAAGGCAGGGTGACAGAGAAAAGGAGATAGAGACACTAAGCGATCTTCTATCCACTGGTTGTCTCCAAATGGCTGCCAGGGCCAGGACTGGGCCAGGCTGTAGCCGGGAGTTCAGAATTCCATCTGGGTCTCCCATGTGGGTAGCAGGGGCCACGCAGTTGGACCAAACTCCGCTGCTTTCCCAGACACGTTAGCAGGAAGCTACATTGGAACTGGAGCTGCAGTGTGAGATGCCAGCATCGCAGGTGGCGGCTTAACCCATTGCGTCATAATGGTTGTGCCTCTGTGAAGTTTTTGAAGTACCCTTGCACATACCGTTGTGTGAGGTTGCCTACAGCACTGGATATGGTAATATGCTGCACAGGTTTGTAGCATGTAGCCTAGAAGGGTGTAAGTCTTGGATAAGGACACTGTGTGGGGTTCCCACAGTGATGCGGTTGCATAGTGATGAACTTTTCAGACCATATGCCCATCATACATGAAATTGTTCTGTTTCCAGAGTTCTGGGGGTATAAATGATCTGTTATGTATGAGGTCTGTGGTCCAAACCCTTGTCCATAGTAAGTGCTCAGTATTGTCAGTTTGTATGGTATGTTGGAGCCAGGACTTTAACAACTTTGGTTTAGACTTACATCCTGGAGCTAGAGATCTGGTCCCATCTCTTATTGGCTACGTGCCCTTGACTGGGTTGTCAACTTTTGTTCCTTGTTTGCAAAATGGGAATGAAGCATCCTGGAGTTGAGGGAGGAGATAATGAGGTGATGCATGGGAGCCCTAGTGTGTCTTCTGAGTGGTGTTGCTGCTGTGTTGTCCTGGTGCTTTAAAGCAGTGGACAAGGAAAGGCAGGTGCCAGGTTTTCAGTGGTTTAGATGCAAACTGGTTTTTCCTGCCCAGACATCATGTGTTCCAGTACTTGATGCTGGCTCATGTTTTGCTTCTTCTAATTCATCTTGCTCCTCCTCACAAAGCATGGATATCTGCCAAAGGTCAGCTGTTGGAGTGGTGTTTTATTTAATAGATTCTAATTTTTGAGATGATGGGTTTACTTAAAATTTTTTTTTTTTTTTTTTGAAAAGTAGAGACACACAGAAGGAGACAGAAACAGAGATCTTCCCTCCGCTGAGTCCGTCTCTCCCAATGCTCTTAACAGCCCAAACTGAATCGGGCTGAAGCCGGGAAGCTAGATCTCCTTCGTGGGTGGTAGGGACCCAAGGACTTGAGCCATAGATTGCTCCCTCCCAGGGTGTACATTATCAGGAAGCTGAATCGGAAGTGGAAGAGCCAGGATTTGAATCCAGCACTCCACTGTGGAATGCACACTTCGCAGATGGCCTCTTAACCCTTTGCTAACTGCCTGTCCCACAGTGGCTTGTTTTCAAGTGTCAGGAATTGAATGTTGCACTCGGATGAAACCTCAGGCAGGCGCGGCTCCCATTTTCCTGCACTGAGCCAACACCCTCCAGTTGCAATCCGACATCTTGTACCAAGGCTGAGGCCTTGCAGTAGCAAGTAGTGCAGGGTTCTTAGAAGTGAACACACATAGCAAATTAACTTTCCAGTAGCTTTCAGTGTTAGCTGGAGCAGAGACGGACTTTAGTGTACAACTCAGAAATATCTCCAGGGTAAAATACTAGTTCAGCTCCTAGAGCAGTTGGCTATTTCCCTTACCAAGCCTGGTAGCTGTTACTGCTGCCTGAGGCCCGATCCCCGGGGCCCTCCCGTTCTGTTCCTGGCCAGGAATCCTGCTCTGATGCATCCTTGGTGTGGATGAAGGGGAGGGCAGTGACCCTCTGCTAAAACTTTCGTCCGGCCAATCCCCCCCCCCCCGCCCCCGCCCCAGATGTCGGCTTGTGCGTCTACACAGGGAAGGCTTTGCAGCAGTGTAGGTACTTTTATTTGGAGTCTACAGAGAGACTGTAGGCAGCCTGTGAACCCTTTACACTATGGCTAAAACTGTCCATAGGGGCGTTCTTGGGAGCACTGTGGACTCCAATATGTCATCTGGAGCTTGCTGCCTTTAAAGGCACAAACGTTCTGTGGTATCAGTTGTTCAGGGTCCCAAAGTTTGAGAAACACTTTGGGGCTCACAATGATTTTAGGTAGTGTGTGGATACATGCTTGATAGATGAATAGTTATGTGATCAATGTTAGAGAAAAGTAACTGGCACATCAGAACTGACATTTCCTAACTGCTGTTTCTTCGGGGGAGGCTAAGGCTTGCTTTTTAGGGCAGGTGACTAATGTTAACTGAGCACAGGGCTGGGTTGGGGTTCAGTGTGAGAAACTGTGATCTGTCCCAACTCCCCAGCAGGCACAGAGGAGCTAAGGTCCAGAAGTTCAGGAAAGGTCACACAGGGGTTTCCTTCAAGGGCACTTCGGATGCAGGGGGCAGGGCCTCCCTGCGGGGACAAGGAGGAACCCTGAGAAAGTCCCGCCTCACTCCCGTGCATGCACCCTCAGCCTTGAGATGCACTTTTGCACATTTTCGTGTTCCTGAAACTGGGCTGCACCTTCCACAGTCGTTTGCACTTTAGTTATTTGCTGTTATTAAGTGGATAGTAGCTTAGAACTCAGTCAGGATCCTTTCAGTATGTTTTCTCCTCGAATACAAATTGCATATGGAAGTTGGGATGTCTAATAAACCCACCAACTGAAAGAAAATCTGTCTCAGTGACGCGCTCTCATCTCAAGCCCTTTCCCACTCTCCTGATGGGGAGTTTGGGGAATGAGTCATCATGATGGGAACAGAGACATGAACCCAGACCCAGTGTTGTCAATGCCACCCACTAGCTGCGTATGCCTGCTCTCCAAAATCTGAAATCCTTGCACTTGACTGAGTGCCCTTCCCCAGGAGTGCCGTACAGAACCTCTCAAGAAGTAATAAGTCCGAATCCTCAACTGGAGGGAAGGAGGAACCGGTCTCCCCTGTTTCAAGGGACACTGGTCATTCCCTTGGATGCCACCGCGCCCTGCTGGTTCCTCTGTGATGTATTTTCACAGGCGGGCCTTCTGGCCTATTGTTTTCCTGATGGTGAGCTTGGGATAAAAGAGTTTGAGAGTTTACAAGTCAGCATTGATGCTGGCCATTTTGTTCTAGCTGCACTGAAGATGGATGGATTCTAACTGTTGGTTACGGAAGCCAGGAGGAGAGGAGGGGGCTAGGCAAGGAGACACACCCCAAAGAACAGAGTTGCCTTTCTCAGGGAGCCAGGGTGATGCCTCTGCGCCCTGCTCTCTGCTGTTACCAGGGCAGAAAAGAAGCCGTCAGCACTTGGCCTTTAGAAGTTAAAATGGAGTAAATAAGCTGGAAAAAGGTTGAAGAGAAAGCAAGCACCTAAGTGGGGGGTTATATGGAGCTATTTAGGAGGACAAAATCAGGAGCCACAAAGCGGCAGATGGGCTCGGGCCCTGCGTGGCCCTGCCAAGTGACCGCTGGGCAGCAGGCTTTAGAAGGTGCTCCCTGTGTGTCCCCGGGAGCAGTCACAGGGTGTTCCCCAGCCAGGCCGTCTCTATGGCGCTGGAAGGAGGGCGGCGAGCCACAACCCTTCTCATTCTGCACTGGCTCCCCAGCCTCGTGCAGTGGTTAAAAAAGCAAGTGGAGAAAGAAAAGGTGACAGACGGGCTCGTTCTGACTTTGCACAAAACAGGAGAATTTCTGTAAGAGTAAACGGTGTTTATTTTTTGTTTCGGTTTTTTTTCAATCAAGTGGAATCGCTTACTTAAAAAAACAAAAAGTACCTCTTTTCTCCTTAAATACTACAGACAACCTTATTGTATCGCAGCAGACACCTAGAAACAAAACACTGGACCCACCAGAGAAAACTGGGCAATAAAAGCATCCGAAATTCCAGTCTGTTAGCCGGCAGCTCTCGACTCTACACAGAAGTGTCCCAAACCTATTGGATTTGACAAAAGTTTCTCAGGACTGGGGTGCTGGGAAAGTTGAACTCCTTTTAATGCTATTCCAATTGTTTTCTGCTTAGGGAAATTAAAGTCAATGCATCAAATGAAGACCCAAAGAAACATGTAAAAACTCGTTGGACTAGTATTCAGTATGTGAGATAATTACGTAATGACTTGTCCTCCTAGTTAACCTTGTCCTGGAATATGTATAGGTTATTGGTAGCCGCCACTGCTATGATGTTTTCTGAGGGATGCCAAGCTGTATGCAAGATCTTTTTGCTAAAGTCCAGACTGTCGACGCTGATCTCGTCTTTTCTCCGCTTGCCTCCCACACACACTTTGCGGGGTTTGAGGATGGCCCGGGGTTTGCTGTTTTCCCTCGAGGCCTCCAGGGTCACGTCACGCTTGGTGTTGCGGTCGAACATCCTGAAGAAGTTGTTGTAGGAGCCCGTCATGATGACACTGCAGGACACAGAGGAAATAGGCAGTGACGGAGTATTAAGGAGAAGGGCAGCAACACCTATCCTGATTGTATCCTCCTGGGGCAAACGACAGCTTACAGTGACTAGCTTATGTTACAGGTTGGGTACTGTCACTGCTGTCACCATTAGCATCACTATGGGCAACAAGTTCTTTGGCTGGGCTTGGGAATAAAGGATGAGGCGAGCCTTCCTTGCTGTTTACTTTAGCTCAATGGATTCCTTCGGGTTCTTTGGCCTGGTGAACGGTCCAGTGGTTTTAACGATCTCAGCTCTGGCTACCTCCCAGTAGGAATGGGAGAGGAGAATGAGGCTCCCTTGGGAAAGCTATGGCTATCTGTTGGTGCTGCAGGCAGAGCTGCGGGGTGGGGTGTGTGCACAGTGCCCTGGGCTGTGGCATCAGCCTTTTCAGAAGAGTCACCTACGCTATGGATGTCGTCATGGTCTTACTCTGGGAGAGAATGAACATTCAAACTGTAACAGGATCTGGAGTGGTGGCGTAGGATTTGCAGCAGTTGGACAGCAGGTGGTTGATACGGCTACGCGTTTTCCATTCTCAGGGATAGCGACACTGGTCAGGAGAGCGGTGAATGCCTGATGCCTCCTACAGGGAAGGTACGGGCTGTTTAGGGGTGACATTTTCCCCTGGGGGAGATGGTCCTTGGGCATCGGCAGGTGTTCCTCAAGTGCGAATGCATGGTGGCGCCGCCTGCGAGGCAGGCTTGGCCTGCGGGCTGGTGACCTTCTAACTCGCTGATGAGGAGAGCTCACCAGCATCTGCTTTTCACCTGAGCGGGCCACGGCCAGGGGCATCTGCTTTTGGGTCCTTTGACTAATTAGCCTGGCGTGGCTGACGCAGGTGAGAAGTTGTTCCTCTGGCCCAAGAAACTGAGGTGGTGAATGGTGTCTCCTTGCTAGAGTGAACCGTTAGTACCTTGTCAGGCAGCGCTGAGGGCTGGCCTTCCAGAATCTCATTTCAACTTCTGTTATCTCATTGAGGGAATTACAAGGGAGAAGTAATTTGCACAGTGTCACGTCGCGAATACGCGGCAAAGTCAGGCCTGAGCCCACGTGGACCTGACTCCAGGGCCTACACAGCAAGTGCTTCGCCTCACTGCTTCGCCTGCACTGGTGTTCACCTCTCCCACCGTGACCCAGCCTATTGGTAGACAGGACAGTCTTCTCTTGGGCGAAACCTCAACTTTCTCTGAACCCAAAACAAAACAAAACAAAAGCTCTGAGTTGTGACATGGATCCCAGGTGTCAAACTCAGAGCTTCTTTGGTCTCTGCTACTGTTGGGTCATGGTAGGAGAAGTGGGCCTGAGTGCACAGGGAGCCGGAGACCCAGGGCCTGAAGCCTCAGACTCTGCAGCTGATGAACCTGGCAGCTTATCTTAGCTCTCCAAGCCTCAGTTACCTCAGCTGTAGGGTGAGCTGTGGTCAGGCTGAAAAAAGATGGGATATATGAAAGTGCGTGGTATACAGTAGGTCTCTGTAAGTGTCACTTTTGAATGCAGGTTAAGGAACAGGGGAAACTGGAGGAGTGGAAATAACAACTATAAAAGCCTATTTCAAAAAATTCATGGAAAATGCAATTAGAAGATGAGTTTATTTTGGTGCAAACCTTAGTTTTTTCATGATGCACAAATTGCATGAACATTTTGAAGACCCTTTATATATACAATAAATTTCAAATAATTTTGGACGATGATGAACTTTTAATTCCATTTTCCACAAATCATCTGAATTACTCTCATAAAAATAATATCTGTTAACAAATTTATATATGTGAAAATATTGGGGATGCTTCTTTGCCCTTGGGGGTTTTTGGTCACAACTGCTGGATAGTGTGAGTTCGGTCCTTCGCTACAGAGATTCCTTCAAGGCCTGAGCAGTAGGGGTTCATTTTGGGTCCGTGCCCAAGAAAGCCAAGAGAGAGAGAAATGTGGTAGTTTGTAAAAGCTTGAGTCAGAGTGGCATGCCCCGAGATTTCCACGCTTCTGAACGTCATAACTGGTACAACCTTCATCAAGGAACTATGTCAGTCCCCGGGAGCACGCACGTAGCTCCTGCGGCAATCAGATAATCGTCTTGTATTTGTGAAACCAAAACCAAGCTACCGGGAGGCCGTAGGAGGTATTGTTGAAATCAAAGGCCTCACAACAGTCAGAAATCCCACTGAGGGAATGTGATAAGTGAGGTGGACTGGAATTTGGTTAATGACCCTCCAGAGCCTTTGGCCAGGTCTACACCAGCAGTTTCAAGGATAATTTTTAATTTATTTTGCATTAATTGGCAGAGTTCAGACTGGAAGATGCTGATGAGTTCTTAGTGATCTTCCCGTGGGCATGTTGACCTGGCTCTGGGGTTCCTTGCGTGTAAAAAGCAGGACTTCACTGTTGACATACAACTGTCACCTGTGCGAGTCCTTAAGGAGGATCCAGCTGCTCCTGTCCTCACAGTCCTGGCCTCGTGGATCCACAGTGACCCACACGACGCATCCAGCCAGGCCCTGGGCCCCAATCTCCCTTCAACTGTACCACACAAGCATAAACTGCCCACGGCCTCTTCGAGGAGGGTCTGTGTCTGGAAGGTCCCCTAGCCCGAGAACCTTTCTTACCTGTCTGAACCGTTCCACACACATTCAAATTTATCAAAAATGCAGTCGTTTTCGTAGAGGGAGCACAGCTTGCTGCGGAGGTAGTCATGCACCTGGGGAGGAAGCAGAGCGAACGCCGTCACTCACAGAGCACTGTTCCCCTGAACACCGCCTCTTCTCACGTCAGCCATGAGTGCTGGCAGTGTACACGTGTCTGGAACCTGTCGGCCCCGGGTCTGAATCCAGGGCGGGCCTTTTTAGCTGTGGGATGCCAGGGTAGCTTGCTGAGCTTCTCCTGTGGCCAGTGTGGGTTAAGTAAACTTTCTGTGTAGACACTGGTGTAGAGCAGGACCCGATGGTACAGTCTTGTTTTCAAATTAATTTTCTCAAGAGCATTATAACATTCATTCATGCAGTCTTTTATTTGGCAAACATGTATTGAGTGCCTGCAGTACACTTGGGGTACAGCTGTGAATTGAATAGAAAGGACTGTTTGACCAATTAAATACACAGGTGCCTCAAAAATTAAATCTACTTTTGTGCAAAAAATTTTGGGGAGCCAGTGTTGTGGTGTATTAGGTGAAGCTGCTGACTGTAAGGCCAGCATCCCGTATGGGTGCCGGCTTGCGTCCCAGCTGCTCCACCTGTAATCCAGCTCCCTGCTAATGCTCGTGGGAGAGCAGTGGAGGTTGGCCCAAGTGCTTGTGTCCCTGCACCTGTGTGGGAGACCCAGATGAAGCTCCTGGCCTCAGCCTGGTGAAGGCTTGGCCATTGTGGCCATTTGGAGGAGTGAAGCAGCAGATGGAAAATCACTCACTCACTCACTCTTTCTCCCCCTCCTACTCCTCTCTCTGTAACTCTGCCTTTAGAGTGCTTTCATAATGTGCATTTTCTATGAACTTTTTTAAAAAAATTGATTTATTTCATTGGAAAGGCAGAGGCAAAGGGAGAAATCATCCATCCACTGGCTCACTCCCCAAATGGCAGCAACAGCTGGAGCTGAGCTTCTTCCATTTCTCCCATGTGGGTGCAGGGGCCCAAGGACCTGGGCCATCTTCCACTGCTTTCCCAGGCCATAGCAGAGAGCTGGACAGGAAGTGGAGCAGCTGGGACTCGAACCGGTGCCCATAGGAGATGCTGGCACTGCAGGTGGCGGCTTTACCTGCTACGCCACAGCACCGGCCCCTTTCCACGAACTTCTTGAAGAGCCCTCATATATAAGGTGTTTCAGATGGTGATAAAATGATAAACTAGAAAGTATCAAGAAAGGGACTGGGAGATCTGGGAGGCAGTGCTGCCTACTAGGTGACTAGGTATGACTTCCCTGATAACAGTCTCGGTGCAGAGGCCTGCAGGGAATGAGTGAGCCACAGTGATACCTGAGTGAAAGCTTCCTATTGAAGCAGAGGGCACAGCTTATGCAGAGGCTCCGAGGCAGGAGTCCTGGCCCCGGGAGTGCGGCAGAGCGGTGGTGAGAGTGCAGATGGCCAGTTCGCATAGTGCCCTCTGTTCTGAGTTAGGTGAAGAGACATCACCGAAAGCATCCCTGAGCCTGCGGTGCTGGGATGGATTCTAACAGGGAAAGGGCAAAGGCAAGGTGGCCAGCCATCCTCTGGGTGCTAGATGATGATCTTTATGCGGTGGTGAGAATAGAGGTGGGAAGAGGTCAGATGCTTGGATCTACTCTGAGGTGAAGCCGGAGCCAAGGTCAGTCCCTGGGTCTTCCCTCTGAGCATGCGGGAGAAGGAGGCACCATGCTCATTTTTGGGTATGACAGTTGGAGCTGTCTCTGCACGTGGGGCTGCCCTGTGCACTCCGAGCTCAGAGGTGAGGCCTGGGAGGAGGTGGCAGGTTTCTTTGGCTTCGCTTTTCCAGTGCAGCTGAGAGCAAGGAACACAGGGCAATAACTGGGAAACACTATAGCATTGTGGGAGGGCAGCTTGGGAGTTGTTGGATAGGAATCTCAAATAAAGCTGGCTAGCGTGGTTAGGTATTTTTCTCCAGCTGTGTTCCACAACTCAGGTGTAGATGCTAAGCAGACCGATGAATACGGCTCAGAGGTTGGTAACTTGGGTTCTTTTTTTTGAGTGTTATCCCCCTGGAGCCCACCAGCAGAGGTGGCAGTGACACTGGGCATCCGCAGTATGCCAGCTCCTCCATGGCCAGGGCTTCTGTCCACAAAATCTCATTTAGTCTCCAAATCCATCTTAGACTGTAGGCACTATCATTGTCTCCACCTTCATGCAGCACCACGCCCAGGGCTATGGTAGCACTTGTCCATGAACTCGCAGGAAGGAGAATGTCAGGATGGGAACTGAACCCTGGTATTTGCAGTCTAGCGCACATTCTGAAATACTGCAGAAATTTGCCTGATGAACCTCAGCTATGAGTTTCAGCCCTGAACAGGAGCTGTGATAATGGACATGGCTGAAGCCAAGACAGTCAGAATGGAGTGCGGGCAGAGGGATATGATGAGTCATGGTTCAGTTTCCCTTTGCCTGCAGCCTGGACTCCCTCTCCTCCCTGACCCCAAGTGTTCTCCTGGAGGCTGAGCTCAGAAGCTCATTGTGTGCTTAGTATTGGCAAAGAAATGAGGTCAAATTCCTCCTCTGTTCTATTAGATGGTTTGAGTATTTGGAAAGCTCTCTGAATTATTTGGACAGTGCAAGTATTTTAACTCTGCAAATGAACTCCTTCCACCTTTCCTCCTCCTTTCTCAAACAGTTGCAGGCCTGGTCAGGATAACTGCCGCAGTGCTAGGGTGACAAGGGGATGTCAGGGTGAGTTTGCTCTCTGCCTTTAGGGATGAGTCTCTGCTAGAACTTGACCTCTCTGCCCCCTGGGGGAGGTCATTGAGTTCAGGTTTTTAAACAGCCCAGTGACCAGTTTTTCTAAGGCCCGGCTTCATCTGCCTTCTTTCCCCATTCCCTTTGGGCATTTTGCCTTTTAGAAGCAGCACAGCTGAGTAATAAGTGTGCACCTGTGTGTGCTTTGGAACCGTGGACCCATTATCAGGAATCATATTGCTGAGAACTTTCTAAATCACTCTTAGAAAACGAAAGTTTTGCAGGAAAACCAAGCATGCACATTATGTCTAATCCACAGCACCTGTGGTCTGGGGACTCCTGACTGTGTTGCATGTGCTGTTGTTGTTGACAAGCAAGCAAAGCACGGAGGCCAACCAGATGGACCTTCCTCCACCAGAGGCGAGAGTAAGGTAAGGGACGCGCATCAGCTGCTAGACCATGGAGCAAGGGAGAACTTAGCACTCATGGTATTTGGTGCTGCTTTCTCCATGTTCCAAGTATTATTCCTTTCCTCTGTTCTATTAACTTGTACGTGGATTATTGACATGAAAATAAGTCTCCCAACACAGTGGTTCTGGACTTATTGACTTGTACAAGTTTGGCGTCATGAATGAGGGAACTTCAGAATCGTTCTTGATAATGGCTTGAAATTGTGCATCTCTTCATAATGCACATTTTGACCCATGAAGATGCCTTACACTTAGTAGATAGCTTATTCTTGCAGGTGAGGCCTCATGAGTGTAATCAATCAGTGTTTGTTAGATTGTAGGAGCCTCCAAAGGCCAGATACAGGTTGAATATCCATTATCTGAAATGTTTCAGATTTTGGAATACTTGCAAATACATAATGAGATACCTTTGAGAGGGAGCCCATGTCTGAACATGAAATTCATTACACCTATACAATTCGTGTATTTTAAAATAAGTTTATGCCTGTAGAACAGTTTGGATACTTGAAGTCAGGTGTAGAATTTCTTTTAAAATTCATTTATTTTTACATTCATTTGAAAAGCAGAGACAGAGAGAGATTAATTGATTGATTGCTTCTATCTGCTGCTTTACTTCCCAAATATCCACCACAGCCAGGGCTGGCCCAGGCTGAAGCCAAGAGCCTGAAATTCCATCTGGGTCTCCCATGTGGGTGGCAGGGACCCAAGTACTTGAGCCTTCACCTGCTGCCTCCAAGGGTAGCATTAGCAGGAAGCTGGCTCAGAAGTGGAGGAGGTGGGACGTGACGATGGGTGGCCCAAGCAGCATGTTAAATGCGGTGCCACATCCCCACCCTGGTGTTTTCTACTTGGGGCATCTCTTTGTCTCCCTGTCCTTCAAAGAAAATCAAACTATAATTTTTAAGATATCTCCAGAAGACACTCCCTGGATCAGAGTTTACTATTCTTATACAGCACGGTTGTCCCTCCATACCAGAGGAGATGGGTTTCAGGAGCTATTCAGGATGCCAACTCCATGGATGCAAAAGTCCCTTCTATAAAATGTTGTATTGTCATATAATCTATACCCATCCTCCCATAGGGTTTAAATGATCTCTAGCTGATGGCTTGAAAGCTATGAAAATAATTGTTAGGCTGCATAGCTTAGCAAATCATGACAAGAAAGAAAAGTCTGTATATGTTGAGTACTGGTGCGACTTTACAATACTGGCAACAAAAGGTTGATTCAGGGTACAGATCCGAGTGGATGTGCAGAGCTGCCTGTAGCGTGTATTACCGTCTTTGGAACAGCACGTAACTCAATTAACCTGCTTTGAGGCATGCAGCTAAAGATGCTTCCTGAAGTTAAATACGGTAAAATGTGGTATTGCACCGTATGTGCTACGAGCCTGTTTCTCAGTGTTTGGCAAAGATAATTTCTAACTTTACCAACCCCCTGAACATACTTTCGGAGCCCTGAACTTAAAGTGCTCATTCCTGCATGTGTTCTCAAGCTATAGTACTAAGGGCCCTTGCCACCAGGTATCCTAAATCTCCTCTTGGCTAGGGAAGGCTGTGCAGTGGGCCACACCTCTGTAAATGTCACCCACACTCGGGCTGCCCTTTCCCAAGGCCCTCTGTTACAACACCAGTGGATTGTCTCGGGCACCTGGACAGGGTGACTATGCGAATACTTTGGTTTTCGTTTTCCATGATCATTTCAAAGATAAATGGAGCTCAAAATTTGTTTTTCTAATGTGCATTTCTATGAATGTCTGAAGAACCCTGTTGTACTGGTCCTAGTCCTGGACTGCAGGTGACAGGGAGTTGAGCTGTAAAGTTGGAGTAAGATTCAGGAGACAGTGGGACTGTAAATACACAGGTGATGCTCTCTGTATCATGTGGGCAGCAGAACCACCCCACTTCTGGTTCCTGAGTTTCCCCAGAGTGTCCTCTGGAGCTCATGGTGGCGTCAAAGTCTCAACCTCCTCTCTTAGTCTTTTCAAGGAGGAGGAAAAGTTAACTTTGCTCTCCCCTGAGGGTATTCAAAGCGGGGCTGGGTTTTTTGTTTCATTCCCTGTGCTAAGGTAGGTATGTCAAAGAGCCCACCTACCCAACCTAACAATTGTTTTCAAAGGAGCTGAGGACTTAAAATAAAGTCACATCCTCAAATTTATAGTCAGTGAAAGTGAGTCTTCCCTCATTCCCTCAACAAATTTAGCATCTCCATCTCTCCAGTGCTGGTGTTCCTGTTGTCATTCTTGGTGTTCGGTTCTGATGATCTGATCTCAGATACTTTGTCTCATCATGTTCAGTGAGCCTTGTTCATATTATGAACCCTGTCATTATTATACCTGTACCTGCTGAACTATTGCAACTTCCTGTCTCCTTAATTCCCTCCCTCTAGTATCAGTTTTGAAAATCCACTGACCTATTTGCTTCTGTCCACTATTTTCCTTAGATTCAACAATCCTTTCAGTGTTAGTCACTCCCTTAACATTTATGTTCTACAAACTTCTCTCTTCTCTCCCTTGGCAAAATCCCATCAACTGGTTATACATAACCTCCTGCCCCAAGCAGGTGAATACGGCTAGGAAAAAACAGATAATCATACCATTTAGTCTCACTTTAAAACAACAATAGAAACCTCTGGGGGATCCCTGAGCAACCCTTCAATATTTCCTTCTTTTGGGTAACTATTTTATACTTTTTCCTCCCTCTCACGAAGCTCATGCCTTGTTTCTCATTTTACTGAGCAAATGTAAGCAGTAAGAAAATATCTGTTTCCATCACAAAATTCATAAATTAGCACCTGTAGCTATATGTGAGGATATTTCAAAAATTTGTGGAAAAATAGAACTGAAAGACTATTTTGGCATAAATAATTTTCAAATCCATGCATAGCGTTTGCATAATGTTCTCTATGATTTTTTTTTGAAGACCCAGGTTCGAATTTTCTTTTGGACCAAAAGTTACCTTTGAATTACATTTTCCATGAACGTTTTTGAAGTGCCCGGTACACCAGTCCCTTTTCCTTTCAGAGATGGTAACTTACCCTTCTTGCCATCTAAGGCCAATTCTCTCACTCCCATGTAAGACTTTTCCAGTCATCTCTTTTCATTGGCTTAATCTCTATGAACATAAAACATCCTTTAGCCTCTATCCTGTTCCTGCTGCCACCTTAACTTTCTGTTGTCCTTCAGACCAACATGTGTTCAAAGAGTAGTGTTTCTTCCTATGGCCACCTCTGTCCTCACAGTCTCTGGACCCTACAGTAATCAGATATTCATTTATCTCGGTCCACTCACTCCTCCCTTTGCTAAATGTATGGTAATCTGCACATTCCTAAATCCAGTGGTCATTGAGCAACAGCTTATTTTGGCAATGTACCTGGATGTATTTATACACACTACTCAAAATCAGCAACAGCATTTACAGCTGGTGAATTCTTTCCACTTGAGATGCCAACTTCCCCCTCTTCCCCTCCCTGTCTCTGTTGCCAAATCCTCTCTATCCTCTGAACGCCAGGGCCCCAGGTTCTGCTCTCTTCTCTAATTACACTCATTGCCTTGGAGATCTCATCCAGGCCCATCGCTTTATATGCTCTATACACACACCACACATGCAAGTATCATATGTATGCCTCTGGATGCAAGATAAGCAGAATTACACTCAACTGTCTACTTGTCGTTTCCGGATGTTTAATTGACGTAACATGTCCAAAACCTAACTCTCGATTTTCAACTGTACTTTTCTGATTGCCAAGAGCAAAAATCCTGGAGTGATCCTTGCTGCTGTTTTTTACCTTACATCTCAAAAAAAAAAAAAAAATTGTCTTAATATCTGTTTGGCTTTACCTTGGAGATAACATCAAGAATGTGGCCACTTCCATTGCTAGCATATTCATTTAAAGCCCTGCCAGCACTGTGCAGTAAATCTGTACCTATTCTCACGATCCTATTTTTTGCTTTTTAAAGATTTTATGTATATGAAAGTCAGTCACCTAGAGTAAGGGAGTGAGACAGAGAACGGGAGAAAGAGAGTGGGAGAGAAAGTCAATTTACATCCACTGGTGTAGTCCCAAAGTGGCTGCCAGGGCCAGGGTAGAACCAGGCTGAAGCCAGGAGCTGGAAGCTTCAGCTGGGTCTCCCACCTGGGTGCAGGCGCCCAACTACCTGAGCCATCCTGTGCAGCTTTCCCTGGTGCACCAGCAGGCAGCCGGTACAGACATGGGGCAACCAGAACTCGAACTAGGGCCCCCATGGGATGCCAGCATTGCAGGAGGTTGCTTTACCCACCATGCCACAATGTCAGCCCCGATTCTCCTGATCCTAACCCCAGTTTTCTCTGAAGTTTTTCCTCCTCAGCACAAGTGCACTGTTGAAAATGCTAGCCGAGGATGAAATTGAGTTAGGTGGTGGTGATGATTCCATAACTTTATCAGTCTCCTGAAATCCACTAAATTGTGTACTTTGAAAGGGTGAATATTATGTATGGACAATATCAAGAAAAGAAAAACCAGTAGGTCAAATCTTTCTAGAAAATTCCACCCTGCTTCTTTTTAACTGACTAAAGAGATGTTAAAACAAGATCAGTTTATCCTAGCCCTTTGCTCTTGGCTTCAGTGTCTTCATACCTGGAATTAAGTTCTTTAAACCCTGTCTACCTCAAAATCTGGTCTTCTGTTTTCAAGAAAACTGTTCTACACAGTGCCCAGTCCTGTGTTGCTTTTGTCACTGTACCTGCCATCATCTACCTGATGCCTAAGTCAAAAACTCCACATGCTCTTCCTGAGTCCTCTACACTCCATCAGTGAGCAAACCTCATGGACTCTGCACCCCCTCCCCTTCCACCCCATGCCACCGTCCCAGTCCAGACTTCAACCGTCTTCTATCGAAATGTGGCACGTGGCAGGGTGAAATGTATGGTACAGTGCCCAATATCATTTCCTGTGGGCAAACCTTTAACACAGCCCCCCACTGGACTCAGCGCAAAGACAAAACAACCGCATCTGTAATCTATGGGATCAGGCCCTTAGCAGCATTTCCAGGTTCCTCTTCCCACCCTGGTGCTCCATATTCAAGGAAACACATTCCCCTGACGGCTGGTCTTTGGAATACTATTGTATCTAGTTCATGGCAGTCAAGACTCGGCTAAGGGTCACCTCTTCAGGACAGCCTTTCTCTCATGGGCTCAGTAGCGTCCCTTGCATCATTCTGAGTTCAGTTCCTGTTGGTCGTCTGACTTCTCTGCCATTGAGAGAAGCACCACGCTTCTCTTGTTTACAACATCCAGCCCTCAGTAAGTTTTCAACCCACGCGGGTTACCTTGAACTCTAGCCTCTGCATGTGCGCCCTTATCTTCAGTACCGCGTTATTGACCACATCATTACATACCGCCTCTCAGTACATAATTTACATAATGGTTAGGCACTTTCCTTCTGCCTATGAACTGGCAGGCAGAGGCTGACTTCGAAGCCCACAAAGGGAGTGCTCAGTACATGTAGGGGCAAGTGGCGCTCTGTACCTGGTAGGTCTCAATGGGGCGATTTTCCATGTTGAGATCCCAGACTTTAACGGTGAGATAGTCCCTGGTCATGATATACCTCCCACTGTGGCTAAACTTGACATCCGAAATCGAAGAGATAATTTCAGAGAAAAACGATCTGTTGCTTGGATCTTCCGGCTCTTCAAAAACTGTAGAACAACAGGGAAACAAAAGCAGAAGTGAATGAATTTAGCACATCCTTATTAACCAACCCTAACCCTGGACCAGCTAGAAAGCCGAAAGTTTAACTTAGACTGCCGTAGGGCTGGTGTTTGCAGAATGTGAGCACATTGCTGATGGAACTGTCAGAGCCTAGTGACAGAAAAAGCTTGTCACTAGCTTCTGTATTTCCTTTCTCATGGAGGGCCTGGCATGGGACTGGTCCCATCGCCAGATCGAGTCCTATTTCTGGATCTATGTCTTGAACCTGTTTCACATTTTCCCCAATCTCTGCACATAGCAAATATGGAGACAGCTTAGACGGGTAAATGTTTCATAACTCATAAAATACAAGCTTGTCAAGTTTAGTGGTTGGTAGTATAATCTAAATGTAGAATATCTGCCCCACCCCCACACCTCCCGTTACTGTCCATTCTGGAAGCAAATGCCAGTCTACTAGGATCAGAGGATACATAGTCACTCCTGACTGTCTGCTTTCACTCCGCTGATTTTCAGGGACCATCCCTGTGGTCGCACGTGTGTGTACTTGATTCTTTTTTGTGTGGATATACCCCATTTCATTTATCCATTCATCACTGGATGAGTCTTTGGGTTATTTTGAACAATACTCCTGTGAATATTCATGGACACACCTTTTCATTCCTCTTAGGTTATGGCTGGGTCTCTGCTGCCAGACTGCCTGGGCCTCAGATGTGTGACTGTGTCCCAGGTCTCCTTTTATGTAAAGCATGGCTGCTAGTGTCTTCCCGATGTGTCGTCTGTTCTGATTTGTAGGCTCCTATCTTTCAAATAGCTTTTGATTTCTATGTACAGGAAAAAAAGTATGATATCAAAGCCTGTTAGAAGCTGTCTCTAACTCTTCCTTCTACCTTGATTTTTAAATTGTGTGTATAGAATGATTTCGATATTGCCAATTTCTATACATTGCCTCATTTTTCCTTCTTCATTTATCTAAAATTTCCTAGATTCATATACTTCATTTGCTGCCTCTGATCACAAACCATCTTTCTCAAAAGCCCTATCATATTTGGTTTAGTTATTGACTATTTGCTCGGGTACTCTCTCATAGTGGAGCTATCAACCACTTGGCATATTATTCTTTCACAATTTCTAAGTTTGTATTTCCAACTAGAATGTAAGCTTCTAGAGGCCAGGATTTGAGTCTTATTTGTCTTTATAGTTAGAATCTTATCCACACAGGCTCAGTAAATATTTGTTGCTTGATTGGGACCAAAGTCCAATAAATTAACTACTTCTTTGCTTAGCCTATATTATTTTTGACCTACAGAAATGGGAACTGCATGAGATTCCACTTCATAAAAGTTTCAGTCCCCATGCTATGCTGAGCTACACAGCAGCCTGCAGGTTACCCTGCCAACTCTTCCTCCAAGGCCGCTGCTTTCCTCCTTGCTGGTGGTACTCACATGGTAACACATTCCATGTGGGGAGTCTACGTATCTACATTCTCTCTCAAACTTTGCTGAATTAAACCATGGGCATATTTTTTTTTACCATACCCATGTAAGAGAAAAACGACAAAAGGCCTGGTCAGTCAGAATTGACCTTGAGAAAGACACACTCCTTGAAACAGACAAATGTGGCTCATTACACTCTCTGATCTTTTGTGTCAGCCTCTGACCTCATCTCTTGGGCTTCAGTTGAACAGCAGTACAGCCCGTGGACTGGACTAGGGGAAGAAAATGGACACAGCAGTTTCAATTCCCAGCAGTCTCAGTACAGGGGACTTGGGAGCGCCGACTGAGGAAAACTTCTTAGCAGAACTGTGGGAGTTCTGGTTATCGCTTACCTCCTCTGATGTACCTGCTGAGACAGCCCGAGGCAGTGAGTGAGAAGGGTTCAGTCAGCTCTGCTCGGAAGGTAGCCAGTCGCTGCCTCTCATTTACTAGCTGTAGACATTTTATTTACTCTTCTAGTCTGTTTTCCCAGAAGTAGCATGAGGCTATTCATTGGCACATAAGGTTGGTACGCAGAAGGTCCTTGTATGCCATATTTTGTAAAACATCCTTAGCATGCACTCGTTCTGTGTTGGTCAGTCACACTTCATTCCACTAGACTCTTGAGAATTTGGGACTGAGGAATACACAGCCTATGGGTCATTTGAGATACAAAGGTGTGCGACTTCGACGTAGTAGTTAAAGCGCTGCTTGGGATATCTGCCTCCCATATTAGAGTTTCTGGTTTAAGTCCAAGTCCTGGCTCTGCTTCTAGTTCCAATTTCCTGCTGATGTAGACCCCGGGAAGCAGCAGGTGATGGCTCAACTGCTTTGGTCACCACCACCCATGCAGGGGACCAGGAGTGAGTTCCCAGCTCCTGGTTTTGGTCTGGTCAAGTCCCAGCTGCTGCTGGCATTTGGGGTGTGAACCAGATGATGGGAGCTCTCCCTTTGTTTGCCTTTCAAATGAATGAAACTTAAAAAGCCATTTTATGCTTTTAGTTTTAATTAGTTTTTAATGGATAAAACTTATACACATTTACAATACCTCTCAGTGTTGTATCTGGGAATCAGTTCTCCAAATACTTGGCGCATCAGATGTATAGCAACCCTGGAAAGCCTCAAAATGACCTCCATGAGATGGAAGAGCACAATGGTTTGATCAGTCTATCACAAACTATTTTTGAGATACTGCTTTATGTAGGACACAGTGTGTGGGATACAGATAAGGGACCTAGCATAGCATTTTGTAGGCTATGATGCCTATGCATATGCAAGGTTCAATATCAACTCCATGAATTATTTTATTCAGCTATAGAATTTAATATTACTATTAATAATTAGTATTAAATACAGTGATTGGAGGCTTAGAATATTCCAGACCCCAGTGCTTTATGTACCTGGTCTCGTTTAATCCCTTCCAATAGCCCAGGATATAGGAACTATAAAGCTGAGACTCAGAGAGGTTTGCTAACCTGATCACGGACTTACAGCTACACAGAGAGTTGCATTTCGAACTCAGATCTTTGTGGATTCTAATTCAGACCCTGTTTTTAATCAGCATGGAATTCTGCCTTGGACTCACTTATCACATGCATAAGAAACCTCGGTGTCTAGAACATGCAAATGAACAGTAGTTGTGGGATAGACACACACTAGGCGTTGTTGCAAATGCCAGGGGCACAATAATGAGCTGGATGGATCCGTAGGGAACCCGCAGGATAGGAAGATACAATGTCAATCAATACAAGTATTGCTACAGTTGCAAATAAGTGAGATTTCCTTTGGAGGGGAATCAAGGTGCTGAGGAAGGTGCTAGTGTGATGTAAATGGAACATCAGTGTGCGTTCGTGAAACCCACTTTTCAAGCCTCCTCCGATGATGGGGGTGGGCAAAATGTGTTGAACACATGGTACAACGGTATATGGTACCCACGTGATGGAATCTGAGACAAATCAGAGCTGGCATTTTTCCTGGAGGCCCTCAGCCTGAGCGATCCTGCTGACTCACAGGGTTTCCAAACTCGCCTCTAGGAAATAAAGACGTCAAGAGAAGAAAGGCAGAGAACTGTGGGCGAGACAGGATGAGCTGAGCTCCCTGTGTGAGGAAGCAGACTTAATGAGATCCTCAGAGCCCAGGCCTACTCACTGCAGCCAGCAGGGCTCCAGGGTGAGTCTGAGGGACCCCAATACCAATAGCAGCAATGACAGTGACATCCACCGCTCCTGGATCCTCAGGCTTTGCATACACCATCCCATTTAATGCACAGGAGGATACTGTCACTGTTCTCATTTAGAGAGGGAGTCAGATCGGAAGAGGCTCTGTAAGCTGCCAGGATCACATGGGTAGCCAGTGGTAGGGACAGGCTTTGCACTCGGACCATCTGTCTGCCTAACTGCTCTGCCCACATCGCTGGGCCTTTTCTGGCTCCGTCAGTGTATCTCTGTTCACACAGTCAAGCCAAACTGGGATCGCTCACGTTCTTGGCAGCATGTGTGTGTTCCCATTTCTGTGTCTCTGTTCCATTTCACCTCTTCCTGTACCCATCAGGGTTACCGGAAGTAATATGAGATTGGAAGGCAGGGACACTGGGTTGGAATCCAGGCTGGGCACCAACTAGCCAGCTGGTAACCAGAGCCGCCACCCACTGAGCCCTGTGTGCTCACTTGATACTACAGACAACTTCCACTTTGCTACCCATGAATCAGGCAGCACAGGCGCAGAGAAACTCAACCCGCTTCCCGTCTCTGTTCTTGGGCTCTGCCCTGCTGTCTCTCATTTGACTGTGCCACTGTTGGCTCTCTGGGCCCATTTCCTTCTGCAGACCACAAAGGAGTTAGGGTTGCCTCCCAGCTCTTGGACAACAGAGTTAATGAAATTCTACTGGTCTTTCTATTCTCCCAGTTCTCCATACTGTAGGGTAACCTTTCCAAGGAGACTTCAGCATAACTCAACCTGTGCTGTTTCAGGCATTCTAGATTCTAAGGGTAAATGAACCTGCAAGACAACTTGGGGATTTGTGATGTATTAAGCTATTAAAGGTGCTGAGAAGGCCTGCAGGTAAAACAAAAACAGAACCCAAATCAAACATTCTTTAATACAGGGCTTCCTAACCTTTGCACTATTGAGGCTTAGACCACATTTTTTTTTTTTTTAATTTTAAGATTTGTTTCTCCTCTAGCTGTGCTTTCAGAGAGAGAGAGAGACTGAGACTGATTCCATTCACTGGTTCACTCCCTAAATGGCATCAAAGGCTAGGCCTGGGCCAGGAGCATCATCTGGGTCGTCCATGAAGGTAGCAGGGGCCCAACCACTTGCACTATCCTTGGATGCTTTTCCCAGGCCTTTAGCAGGGAGCTGCATTGCAAGTGGAGCAGCCAAGCCACGGTGCCCATATGGGATGCTGGTGTCACAGGCGGTGGCTTAATCCTCTATGCTGCATATATCTTGCCAAAGGCCAGAAGATTCTTGGTTTTTGGGGCATTAGAGGGTGTCTAACAAGGTACCTGGCCCCT